TAGATAGATAGATAGATAGATAGATAGATAGATAGATAGATAGATAGATAGATAGATAGATAGAAGGTTAAATTACTTCTCAATAAACAGGTCTGGGTTGAGTTAGCACACACTGAGTTAGCACGCACTGAGTTAGCACGCACTGAGTTAGCACACACTGCGTAAGATACTGTTATGAGTGGTGAACAAGTACAGGCAGATCACTGATACTCTCAACAGGTGGTTCTAACTGGACTTGCATCCCCAAACTCCATAAAACATAGCAGCTGTATTCATTCTGTGGAACACACCCAACAGTGTGCAGCTCCGCAGATTAGGCCTCTGTGCCTGGAATCTGAAGGTCAGTGTTGCAAATCCTGTGGCTGAAAAAATAGTCATATTGCCGTTGGCCCTTTAACCCCAGAGAAATGCTCCTGGGGAGCCGGGTGACTGGCTGGCCCTGCTGTCAGACCCCCAGCTTCACGCTTACCTCATATATGCGAAAAATAAGGAATTCCACTGTACCTGTACAAATGGCCAATGGAGTGTCATTCCATGCATTTGGAAACAGGATCAATGTGCAATATCTTAACCGTGCAACAGGATAAGATGTGCAATATTCTAAATGTGCAATATTATAACTGCAACATCTGCCTTCTATGCAGCTATGCAATAATTTGCAGTACTTATTGTATTTAAAATTTCTTTCATAGTTCTTCTTGATTAGTACTTGTATTTAAAATTTCTTTCCTTGTGTAGATATTACCATCTTTTCTTGTATATAAGTGTTCTACTAACTTGACTCTGAGAGAGCTCTGCAGAAGAATTCCAATGTGCATGGAATGTTGGTTCTATGCACAAATGGCAAATAAAAATATTGTATCTCGTATCTCATAGATGTGAGGCAGGGATTTGGGAACAAATATAATGGTCGTCTTGTGTCTGATGGACAGCGGAACGGTGGTGTTTTGCTTTGTCAGGCCACCGCCTACCCGCAGCTCTGTCATAATGAGGACACTTAATGTAATGCCTTCCTGGCCAGGCAGACGCACAATCACAGTTAAACAAACAAGTGTATGAGAACAGAATGAGCCCAGTGCACAGACTGAACACGTATCGTCGCTGCACATGGCCAGGTGAACACGCTGTGACCTGTACCGGCAGCCTAAGCGATCAGAACCCGGGGCAGCAGCTCGTAACCGGAAGTCAGACACAGTATGTGAGACCCTTCACTCATTTACCGTGCTTCCTTACCCGGTTATCTTTTCATCACTCTACTCCATTCCCTTCAATATGAAATGGGGAGGGGTGTGGCTTATATTTAGAGCATTAGGACTGTGTACCGTGTAATCGGAAGGTTGTTGGTTCAATGATGATACTTTACTAATACATGTGGGGAAAATGTGCTTTTGCCTACCCCATCTTGCTCTCAATGAAACACACATAGGTTCATGGGTGTTATACTTAATCAAAAATGTTCTGAGGGCCGAATGAAAAATGATTGTTTCAGAGAGATAACCAATCAGATTGAAGAGGGGGTGGATCCAAGCAACTAGAGGAGGCGGGACCAAACAATCAGATGATCAAATCCCATGCGCCATATGTAGAGGTGAGTACAAGCTTGGGGGTCCCAGAGCACACCCCTAACCTCTTGAAAGTCAGCCACCTGCAGCTGGTGGGTTAAGGGCCTTACTTTGGGTTTCATAATTCTAGTACTGGAGGTCCAGAATCGGGGACTCTGGGCCATGTAACTATCCTACCAAGGGCAAGCTTGAACCAATTATCTTCAGATCACAGGCACAGAGGTTTAGGTCACTGAGCCACACATTAAACTGCATCAATAAAATACAGGGGTAGAATGTTCAGGTCCAAAACTAAAATTATCCATGCCAAGATTCACTTGAGTACTCTGTGTCTGTTTAGATTCAACTAAATGGTTGAAACAAAATCCCAGTCTGGGTTTTTACTTTTTGGACCTGAACTTTCCAACTCTGTTTTCTACATGTGCATCCAGGCAGTTCAGTGCTCTGTCTTGACTTACTCCTCCCCTGAAAGCACCCTGCAATTAATGAGTCTGTTTACTAAAACACCAACCATTATCTCATTGTGAGCACTAGGGGCACAATGTGCTGATTAGACGAAACAGAAAGGGATTCCCTGGATAAGCAGAGTTAATCGAGGAAGAGTGGAGCTTCACACAGTAGCAGAGATTTTGTGAAGCTGAAACAACCGGCATCATGAAATCTGAGGCATGTAAAGGCATCTCCTGTGTTCTCTAGTACAGACCCTACATCTGTTAGGTAACACTGCCACTGCACTTAATTTGCATTAATGATTATACTCATTATCGGCTTTTTTACCTCATGTCTAAAGTCACATAAAAAGCTACCAAGATTTGTAAAAAGTTTCCAAAGTCTATGTAGATGTGACTATAATTCATTATACAGTATAATAATTCATTGTGATATTTGATTACATGAACCTTACACAGACATCCAATCCAGTCTTGCAGACACAAAGCCAGGTAATTTGAACATCTTGAAATTAGCTTCAGGCCCCTGGGTGTACCTAGGGAACCCCCCCCCCCCCAAGAGAAACCTATTGATAGAGTTGCCAGACCCTCCACAGATTTTATTTCTGTCTATGGGCCAGCAATCCCGACATATGTAGGATTGAAGGGGAGGTTCACTACTAGCTGTAGTTAGAGATCGATTTAAGACGAAAAGGTGATGTCTGCCCTTGTGCCAAATGACATTTCTCTACCTGGGCTGATTCGCAGGTGGACTAAGCTGTACTGGAGTGATGGTGAAGTTTAGAGGACTAAGATGGGAGTCCTCTGGAGGAACAGAAAGGACAAAGGGGGGGGAGACTATTTTCAGAGCCGGCATCCATTAAAATAGCCTGTTTTTATGGCATGCACAACTGAAATAGAAATAGCCTGTCGTAAGTGTCAGAATACAGTGAAAGTCTACAGTGAAAGCTTACAGTGAAAGTCTACAGTGAAGGCCAACATATTCTACTTTGGCTCAAATTAACTCTCCATTCATGTGTAATTCTCCATGTTGCCTGTACTGTGCTATGAAATACTTTCCTTTGGATTGCCTAATAAGTGTATTTTTAATGAAGAATCAGCAATAGAATAATCCAGGTTCACGGAGTAGTGGCTGTTCTGAGAATCCATGTGATACCTTTCACTGGAATAGAGGCCTTATTGATTTGCCTGTCTCTCTCTCTATTGTAAAGATTTCTCTAGCATCTCCGGACCCGAGCTTGTGACGCACCAGCTGTCTGCCGTCTCTGCTCTCATCCCATGCTAAGGAAGAAGGATGAAGATAACCATGAAGAGATACAACATGGTGAGAGAGAAATGGAGCCTGAGGCAGAAAACCTTTCACAGACACCCATAATCCAGGAATATTGACCTGTAAATCATGAGCACTATGCAAATTTGTCTCTCTTCGCCACATATGCTTTTGTTGCCTCTGTGAATGACCAATGTAATGTTTTAACTTATTTCCATTTATTTAGCAGATGCTTTTATCCAAAGCGATGTGCAATTGAAAGAGCAGATAGTCCCTGGAGAAACTGGGTTTAAGGGCCTTACTTTAGGGCTTAATGGTAAAAACACTCTGCCAGTCCTGGGATTTGAACTAGTGACCTTCTGACACGGAGTGCCAACCTGCAGTGCCGCACACAATTAGCGTTGTGGCTGCACCTTTCGCAGTAATCGGGACGATTTGTGGGGCTTCCCCTCTATGGACGTCTGATGTTGTGGTTCTTCTGAAGTTGAACTTGCCCCCTCCTTGGTAGCCATAGTAACGGATCGCTCCAAGCACCCCTCTCCAGCCCTGCAAACCCTCACTTGCACGCCCCTATCTCTCCACTTCAGGGAGGAGGGGGGGGGGGGGGGTTAATCTGCCACTCACTCATCCACCAGGGAGCCCCTCCCTCGGAGCTCCTTTGACCTGTTGATCCACGGGTCTTCCACCCATAAAGGCACCACTTGTTCTGCTGTGATTGTTGTGATAGCTTTTTCCACACCAAGCAGATCATTGCCAAACCTCACTTTACTTAAACAATTCATGACCAAAAAGGTGCCATTACATCACCAAATCCCCACCCCAGATGTAATTTCACATTATTTTAGTAAGTGCAAAGCTGAGCCCCTCCCATCTTCCCAGAACCACTCTAGACTCCAGACCAAGGGCATCTAATTATACCCAAAGGCCAGGTAGCTTCCATTAAGTTCCACTGGGTACGGAGGTAGGGTGGTTATCTGATCTCATTTTTTTGGGAAATTTTCTTTGCTGCATCATTTATTCATTTTGTCGACAGAGGAACTGATTGTGCTGAAATTTGAACGCCTGCCGGCCGTCTCCTTCCAATCGGACCACCCTCTGACCTTGATTGATCATGTCTTGCCATGCACCCTGTTTCCCCTGGAGGCATACACAACTACCCCCCCCCTCCCCCCCCACTGCCTTGCCGGGACTGAATTATTCAGCTCAGGTGTTTGTAAATGACAACAAGCGAATAAAACCCTGATGTCTGCAGATTATTTCTTTTTCTTTAGTGCGAACCATGTATTTTAAGAAGATGGCCTAATGCTTTCGAAATAGACAATTTTGGCAGGAGCCGAGGTACGTAAGGTTAAACTGGACGTTTTCCTAGCCACGAGCAGGGAGGCGCCCCCTGGAGTTCATTTTTGGATAACATCCAGTCACATCATCCTTTCAGATTTTCACATGAATTTTGTGTTAGTTAGCAAGACATTAGGAGCATAGGAGTATGACTGGTTGGTTTCATGTCCTTTAGTGACTTGGTGTTCATGTGACCAGTAGTAAACTGGAATGGGCTCAGACCTCTAAGCAGAGAAAAGTCTGCTGTTCTGTTGTATGTAGTTTCTAAGATATGGATCTTTGTTGGAAAGCAACAAACCTTGTAAGTCTGAAAGTAATCCAAACTTTCTAGGTATACGTCTATTATATTTTGGTACATGGTCCATCATTCTGGTCATCACCACCATTGTCATGTATTCTAAAGCCTTATTTTTCCCTGTAAATAAATATTATGCTTCTCATCTGTCAGATTGTGGGGATTATTTAGACAGAAAACAGCCTCTCAAAAATGGTGGTCTTATTTCACCACAACAGCAACACCAATGAGAACAGTGCTGGCGTGCTCATTCTCTCTAATTAATTTAGCACAAAAATAAAATGGAAAGCACTCTAAACACAGAAAGCGTCATAGGCCTCAGGAATTACCTCCCTCCATGGGGATTACGGGAACAAGGAGGTCTTTAATCAATCTGTCCGGCATGTTTGACCACAACCCTGCAGGAGCTCCTCGATCCCGGAGCGGAAGAGAAAACAGAAACTCACAAAGTTTCCAGTGACGGCAGATGGTCAAGTGGTTATGGAAAGACACTTGTGACCAGAAGATTGCAGGGTCAAATTCTCGTACATAAACATGGACAGACATGTAAGCAAAAGAAATAGTATATTGCTTTATTTGAAAGTGTCTTCTAAGTAATTTTCCAGTAGTTTATTAGCGAGTTCTCTGGGGCAGAATCCTCCATGTTCTCAGCATGCACCAAGAAGATCATGTCATTTGGTGTGACTAAGACTATTCCCAAGAGGTTTGACTCATCTGCCACTATGAGATGTTCTTTGTTTCTAACACTGTTTTGAATGTTGTGGGTTAAGGAAGATGACCTTTTAGCACTTACACCATATATCTGTCAATCCATGTTCTAACTGCAAATCGTTGCTGTCTGATGAAAATTGGATTTGTCCACCTTCTGACAACTGTGACTTTTTACTATAGGTGGAATGCATCCATTCTCCTGTGTCTACTGATAGCATATGGCATCTAACAGACGAGTAAAAAGACGATTTATATTGTTTGTATGGATTACTTCATAATTATATTTTAACAGCTTAACATTGACAACTGGGTAGCTATATAACTAACATCATTAATTGTGAATTTAAAGTGAGATTAATTGGTATCTTTATGTGACTGATATATTTGCCATGTTTACAACAATCCATGTCCATATTAAACATTAAACCATTCACTGGTGGCTATGTAAAACTAGGTTTCTTTTTGTGGTGCTGAGGGTGTCTCGTTACATTGTTTTAGGGTTATTTTATAAAATAGTAGAAAATGTGTTTTTTAATGCTCCTGAAATACTGGATTTCAGGAGATACGCGTTTCTTGTCGGACAGCGACATCTTACTGGTCAGGGTCCAGGGAATGGGTTTGGGGTACATTCTGGATTGGATTACATCGTATAATGTAATGATATTTTAGCTCATACATTGTACATGCAATCAAGATCTATAGCAGTGTTTCTCGAACCCGGTCCGCGGGGACCCACAGACAGTCCATGTTTTTGCTCCCTCCCAGCTCCCTGCCACGTTTTTGCTCTTTTGGGAGCTGGGAGAGAGCAAAAACATGGACTGTCTGCAGGTGGCCGAGGACGGGATTTGGAAACACTGATCTATACCAATGAACCTGAAAATCTGAAAATCATAAAGCCTTTGTAGTGGGGATGAGATAAAGCATGGAGACCATTCTGTGCTGCATGATGTTTTAGCTGCAGTGAGAGCTGACTCACCCCAAGTGTCAAACTCCTTCACCACTGCCTCACAATGAGCCTGATGGGAGGTGGGCTCTTTGTCATTGACATCACACACCATTAGCTGAAGTTCCACGTCATTTATTGTGAACCAACTCTGACTTATATCTACATGAATGTATTGCTCCCAGATGCCTGGTCATATTTTCTGTGACACGTGCAAAAATGATTCAGGAAAGCACCGAGCTCCAGTGATGTAAAGTGATGTAAAGTGGGCAGAACAGCCCTCTCCTTTCAAAAGATAAAAATTAGTGAGCCATTGTCCCTTTCATGTGCTAGAAATCAAGTCACTTCACTTCAGTTCAACAAAAGCTAGCGAATGACATCGACTGGTTAATTAGCGTCAGTTTACACTGGACCACTGTGCACCTGTCTGCCTGTCTAAAGTGACATCATCTGTGCTCCCTGCTGATGCGGCCACATTGTCACCGAGCTCAAACAGCCAGGGGAAAAGCGATACTACCGGTCACACTGCAGAAGGAGCAGGACATAAAGATTCTGTGTGCCGGATTGTCACCGAAGGCTCTGCCGAGGTATAGCACAAGAAACCAGGGACTATTCCTCCTTCCCTACTGAATACGATGTGTGTGAGCTTCCCTGCTAAGCTGTGCCTTTCATTTTTATTTGATCCCATCCAGCAAGGAGCCACATGGCCCAGCATGAGGAGCTGGTGACACCAAAGTGGCAGCCATGCCGGCCTGCTCTGTTCATTCAGCTGTGACTAATTGTCAAGGATGAGCCATGCGCACCCAAATAAAAAAAACAACGACATGCCATGCTGCCAGTGCATTTCTAACCTGCGAGATGCCAACCTCAAAGGCCCCTCTATTCAGGCTACAGGATGCCGTTTTTATCACGAGAAGTCGAACTCCTGAAAACATAAGGGCCATAATGTGTACCTACACACTTCTGCTTGTTGTTAGGGGTATCAAAAGACGCCTTTTGGGCTTTAAAGATTCCCCTGGGACGGGCACCCCAAAATATTTCCCCGAGCACCAAGTTCCATCATCAACACAAAACCAACGTCTAATGCATCCAAAAATATGTAGATCGGGGGCCTGCGGTGAGAGACGTGGTCCGGATTCAATTGTATTGTGGTCCAGATAGAGACCGGAGTCCGCCAGTTGGTCACCACTGCCCTGCTCTATAATGGTACGATACAACACACATGAGGCATCCTGTAGGAACTGAATCAGTCAGAGTCAGACGAGGCTACAGTACTTATACAGGTGATTGGCTAATTACTATGACAACATTAAGAGCTCTGAAGCGATTTACATGGGATGGAATCTGCTACATTTTACTGCTGTGTGAAAAATTTGAGCCTCTGGCAGAGCAGGATGGTGCATTTTATATGTCTGTCTGTAGGATGGATAGATGAATATACAAAAGGGACAGTGGAAAAATTCCAAGACTTGGTCAGAAATCTTTATCTGAGCAAGCACAAAAAAAACACAAATGGAAATTTATATTCCTTGTTGTTTAAAAAATACTGATGGGATGAACATTTTATTTAATATTCTAAATTGACATATCTTCATAAACGAATGTTCAGTCTTCACATAAATTATTGTTGCTTGCTGTTAAGCTTTTGAGAACATTATAGCCCATTGAACTAGATTATTGCTTGTCTGGACAGTCACACTCACTCGCCTGGTCTCGAACTGTCCCATCCAGGGGTAAGTTAAAGGTGACACAACCCCCTTCTTTATCCCCATAAAATGGGTGAAATCAATCACACAAACCCAGTCCAGGGCGGAAAGCTACAATTTATCTTGTATCACGGTGTTTACTGTGGCACGAAATGGAAAACATATATCGTAAAAACACTGTGGAGCTTTGTGAAATTGGCAAAGAAACCCGTTAAGTATATAGTACGACAAGATAAAGGGCTTGAGAGCAGACTAGCAACTGTAAAATCGCAAACTAGACTTGCACTATAAAAATGCCCATCCAGCCACATCAGAAAAGTCCCTGTAAAAACCGTCAAGAGGTTGGCCTAAGGGGTGGGTACAATTTCCACGAGTACCCTGAATCTCTTAAAAGCAGAACTGAAAGGGAACACATTCTGACTGACAAGCTCCCCCAGTTGAGTTTGGGCGGGGGGGCATGGTAGAAACAGCACCCAAGAAGGAGAGGATCCCATCCTGTGTGGAACACGTGATCTGCATTTGGCCTTCTCTGTTTCCATCACAGTAAGCTATGTTTAGGAGATCGCTCTCCATTCGAACCCGGGCTGTATACACAAGCCTCCGACTCTGGACGGCTTCAGCAGCAGAGCCGTACACCACGCATAGGGTGATGTCATCTGTTTTGGGCTATTATTCTTTGAAGCCATCAGCCTGTCTGCAGCCAGGGCTTACAAAAGTGGGGATCCACTTCAAACCACTAAAAGACACGTTTATGGGCAACGTTGATCGATTTTCCATTGTGTAATCAGGGGATCTCAAAAGTGTGTCTGACTTCTCTTGTTGAAAAACCAGGCTGCTGTATTAACTGTTAAAAATCTAAAAAAAAAAAAAATCTCAGATCGTACATGTTGTCACTAAGTCACTTAACGATAAATGCAATTCTGGAAAATAGTAGAAAACAATTCTGCTGTTTGTCATGGACTGCATACAAGAAAGCCACTTACGCAAGCATCACGGTGTCTGGTACTTACACTGCAAGCCTAGTGGGAATAAAAATGGAAGATGTTTGGATAAAACTGGAGATTGTTGCTACGTTAAACAAAAATAAATCCACAGTGGCTATGTTCCATATATCGGAGGCCTTGTCAGCTGTACTGCAGGTTCATAAAATGCAATAGTGACACCCTTAACAGTGAATTAGACGTTCCGCACACACTGCATTATGGGATCTGCCAAGCTGCCTGATGGATAAAAGCAGTGAATCTCTTCCCAGAGTTTAATAGGAGCTTATAGCCTGAGTGCTCTTTCGCAGCCTCATGAAAGGATGAGTGAAGGTCCATTCTGGGGCATTGTCACATGACTATGGTGAATATTGTCACATGACTGGCGGATACGCAGGAGAGCCTGCAAGGCCGCAGCTCTGCTACCATGAACAGAAGGGATGCCATGTGCGACTATGTGTCCTCCAGGGCTGTGGGTTTCGTAACGAACTCGGGTCATTCCCTCTGACAGAAGCAGGAATGTCCGTGTTCTGTTAGTGAAAATGGGCTTTCGGGTTTAGAGGTAGATTCCAAACAGACCGTGACAGGGACGTGAGAGGAATAGACTTTACCTTTCTAAGGTCACCTTAGGACTCATAGATCATCCAGGAACCTAGAGGAGCATAACCAGACAGTCTGATGACCTAGTAAGGGGCTAAATTGGCCTTAAAAGCCCCGCTATCAGCAAAGGTACATCAAAACACTGCAAGGCGATGCAGAGTAATCAGGAAGTGAGCACCACGACAGAGAGAACTTACTGCTGATC